CGGCCGCGCCCGCCGGGCACGCCTCTCCCCGCCGGTTCTGGCGGGCCGCCCCCCGGCCTCAGCCGCCCCGGCCACGGGCCTCCGTCGTCTGCGTTTCCACGAGCTTTCTGCTCCTCGCACCGCCTGCCGTCGCCCCTGCCCTGGGCGTGCGGCTGCCCCGGCTTCCCAGCCCACCTTTCCTCGGGAGCTAGTGCCCTTTCCCGAAGCCCTCGTGTCCTGGAGAGGTGCTTGCTAGCCCCCTACGCCCGGGGGTGGACCAGACCCCGGTGCTTTATAGGTGCCTTTGTCCCAGTCCGAATAGGGATGTTTCTGGCCCTACCAGCCCTCTGCTGTGTCTGCAGCCCACCTCGTAACTCAACACCACCATACACGCACATATGCATGCCTGAAGAGGAGTACCTGGCTTTCCATCTTCTTTTCACCCTTACACATAGCTTTGATTTCTTACCACAGTTGTTATAAAGGACAGTTTTGCAGTGGGGGGGATTATGGAATCGTAGGATGGTTTGGGTTGGAAGGCACCTTAAAGATCACCTAGTTCCCACCCCCCGCCATGGGCAGGGACACCTTCCACTAGACCACGTTGCTCAAAGCCCCATCCAACCTGGCCTTGAACACTCGAGGGATGGGGCATCCACAACTTCTCTGGGCAACCTGTTCCTGTGCCTCAACACCCTCACAGTAAAGAATTTCTTCCTTACTTCTAATCTAAATCTACCCTCTTTCAGTTTAAAACTGTTACCTTTTGTTCTATCGCTACATGCCCTTGTAAAAAGTCCCTCTCCGGCTTTCCTGTAGGCTCCCTTCAGGTACTGGAAGGCTGCTATAAGGTCTCCCCGGAGCCTTCTCTTCTCCAGGCTGAACAACCCCAACTCTCTCAGCCTGTCCTCATAGGGGAGGTGCTCCAGCCCTCTCATCATCTTTGTGATGAAGATTAATTAGATCATGGAGATGATTAGAGTGGTAGAGGGGAGATACAATACCTTCTAACCTTCCCATGCTAACCATCGTCACTATACTTATGTCTGTACAAAAAGAAAAAGCATCTTGCTTAAGTGAACCTCCAGCACTTGCCTAGGTAGTTCTTGTCTGCTTTCTCGTAAAGGTGAACAGTGCTAAAATTTTCTATCTTCTCTATTACCCCAACTCTTAGGAAGCGACTTTTCCCCTTAAGTACTTAAGTATATCTTTGGCAGCATATTTCTACATGAATCTGAATTGAGTGTTAATCTGGAATGTTTAAGTTGATGCTGTAATAAGAATTGGTGCTTGAAATTTGATCCTTGTTTGTAAAGCAGACTGGGCATTTGTCAATCCCAAAAGCAAAACTTTTAATGAATTACATAATACTGTGCTCCCTGTGCTACTGTTAAAAAAAAAAAAAACAAAAAACAAAACAAAACCCCCACCAAAACCCACAGAAACTCCTTTTTTCATACTGTATTATGCTACAGATAGCTGTTGTCTCCTTGACAGCTCTTTTTGTACAGCTATTTCAAACAGTGCTTAAGTTTAACACACTAAGTTTGGGCTCTTGAGACTCTTGATAGTGGAAGAAGGGAGGTGATACAGCTAGTCTAGACATTGCCTCTTGGACAGAGACAGATGCTGCTTGAAATTATCAGAGAATTTTGAACACTTTGACTCCAAAGCAGCAGCAATCTTGCTCTCCTGAACCAAGAGGTTTTACACAATGGCTAATACCATTTTGAGTATGTTAGTATGTAAATCAATAGAGAAATATATTTTAATCAATTAGGTTTTAAACTTGGTACTTTCTTGAGATGAGTCCTTGTTGGAGATAGTGCAGGGAAGTCTGGGGAAGGTTTTTTATTTGCAAGGTTTTAATTGCACCTGATAATGGCTATGAAGTTAATATTTTTTTTTAATTTTTTTTTTTTTTACTGAGAACTTAGGTTCTGAGGCATGCTCGTATGCTACCTAATAGAAATAAGTGCTGTGATGGGTATATTCTTTAAGTTTATGCTAACAGAGGTCCACATGGTTTGTTTATTGCTCTACAGAAGAACCTGGAATCACATGCAGCAGGTCTTACGCATTTTTACATTGCATGGACAAACTGTTTCCTTCTTTAGTATGCTAATAGACTGGACTGGTCTGCCAACATCCCCTATGTCTTTTCGTTTGTGGATGTGATAATGGCTCTTTTGCCAAGAACTCATGTGTTCCCGTCACCAGTCCCCTCCTCTATCAGTCTGCTATTTTGGGAGGCAAAAGGTCAAAGCCTCTTCCTCTAAAATTGTCAGATATCCAAAACAGCACCAGAAAATATTTTCATTTATTGTTCTCGTGACTGCATCATCTTTATCTGTAGTTGTGGGGGTTTTGTGGGTTTTTGTTTGGGTGGGTTTTTCTTTAAACAAAGTTTATGCCCTTGTCACCTACCCTAAAACTATAAGTGTACCTATTGGGAGTTCGGGGATTCAAATAGTTACTGTATACAGGCTGTCAGAGAGATTGCCCTTCATTTATAGAGTGTTTTGAAAGTATACCCAGGGAGCAAAAACTTCTGAACTTTTACAGCATCGTAAGGTGTTTGACAGAAATAAGAAATACTTTTTTGACTTGACGCTATGGTGTCTCACTGGAGTTGTAGTTCATATGCTTCATGACTCTGTCTTGAATGTTGCTGTGAGCTCAGTCTATATAAGAGAATGAGACTATGAGTTGGTTGAAATACCGTTTCCATGACATAACAGCATTTTAGTCTGAATATTTTGAGATTGAGTCAAAAGATTTTGGCTTGAGAGTGTTTAAGGTGGGGTTTTTGTTGTGGTATTTTAACAAGTATGCAGTTTCTTGAGAAAAATGTGTTTGCTGCCCCTCCAAGTCCTTTGTTGACCATCTCCTTCCTTCCCAATTTTGAGACCAAGTGCTCTTCAAGTATTTTTTATTACCAGCCACAATAGAAAATAAAAATAGATGTCCATATGCATCCTTTTTACTTGTTTCTTTTCTAGGTATGTACTTCAGTTGCAGACACTGAACTATCTTGTATTGTACAGACATGTCTAGAAAAGTATCTGAATTGTTTTCATATTTTATCGTATAAGTTTTTGTAGCCTGTTGAAACAGAGGATTCTTTTAGGTTTCAGTAATTAAAGGAATTGTTGCATGTGTTTGGTAGTTGTATTTAGTATATCAAATCTTATTTTGCCTTAAATGTGTTTTAAAAACTCAGCTTTTATAGTTAAAACAATTTAATTACTGTCATTACTTTCATTATTGTCATCTTGCAAAGTAAATCTTAGTCATAGTTTCTGTGCTGGTAAAGGAAAATCCTCCCTGGTTTTGCTATGTTTCAGTTTTGTATTTGTGTGTGCTTGCTCTTTTTCTCTAAATGCTACAGCAATACATGGTTTTGTACAACAAAGGTGAAAACTGTATAGTTTTGTGATAAAAGTAACGAAGACTTCCCTTCAGTATGCTTTTGTGTGCATTTAAATTTTTCAGATGATCGCTAAAGATTTTGTTTGCTCTTCAAATGGCAAAGGCATAGGGATAAGGGAGCGGCTGGTCCAAAGGTCAGGGTAAGAGCCTAGGACTTGGACTTAAAACTGGCAGTTTCCTTCTCCTGCTGCAGATTTTGGGTGTATTATCGGGCGAATCACCTTTGTGCTCTAGCTGTAAATTGGGTTTAATAGTACTATTCAAGTTTGTAGGAATGTTGTGAGGCTAGCGATACTGAAACAATTGAAAACAGAGATGTATAAGTTTCTGAAATGGGAAACTATTTTGTTCTGCATCTCCTGTACTTGCCTGACATCTTCCTTCCCGGTGCTTGGTAGGTGGTGCTCTAACTTTTACTGTATGGACTCTTGCTCAGTAGCATGGGAGAAGAGGAAGGACTGCATCAAACACAATTACTGGTATGTAATTTTTTGCTTCTTAAATGAAACTGTAATCTATTATTTTGTGCAGTCTCAGGAACAGAGTGACAAAGAACTGTTTTTATGATGTAAGATACTAATTGGAAGTAAGTGTTACGGAAAAAAAATCCAGTGAATGCTGTGAAAGGTTTACCTTTAAGAATCCGTAAACGTTTTTTCCTCTGCTGCTACACACCCAAGTGTATGTTTTCAAGTTTTCTGCTGTGTCCTGTTCTTCTGTTGATGTGCCTTAGAAGGCATTTAAATGCCAAATAGTAGATGTATGAAAACCAGGTTAACGTTCAATTGAAGTTTTAATTATTCTTCACAAGAATATAAGTTGAAATAAAAGAAGCTTCAAACTCTGCACAGAGTGTTTAATGTTTGATGACATGGTCATACATGGTTGATTAGTAGACCCAAAAGATATTTCTAGGGGTCAAGTTTCACATGGTGTGTGTGTGTTTAGGAATCACTGTACATACAACTTTGTAGGAAAAATTAAATGGGATATCCTCTGATAGGAAGTTTGCAGGAATACCTAAAAATCCAGGAAGGGCACTGTCAAGCAAAAACTTGGGTTGTATTTAATGGGAATAATGCAAATATGTTAGGTTACAGGAGAAACTTTTAAAAGAAACTTCCAAAGCATTTAATATATTGGTAATCCTTGGATAGCTTTGAAGAAGTCTATGAAAAATGACCATAAGACCAAGTTCATATATTCTATATTGTAGTCTCTGTGTATTATGATTTCTAAAGAGTTTTGTACCTTCAGTGGAAAGAAATCTTTAAGAGTTGGTGAATACAAAAAAAGGTTATTTCATGGATATATACAGCAATGTAAGAAGTATTGTACAGAGTCAGACCAAATGTTTATCTGCCTGCTGCGCTATCCCCAGGTTTTCAGAGTAGATAAGTATGTAGTGTATTTCAAAAGGAACAGTGTTGTTGCACTTTGGTGGATTTTTAGTGACTCTGAAAAAGCTGAGAGAGCGCTCCCTGAAAATATGTGGAACTTACCGTAGCAACCAGAAAAGCAAGGCAGAGGTTAGGTCTTACCAAGGAAAATGGAAAATGATATAGAAAGACACTGCAATAGTTTTTTGGGTTTATCACCTTTTAGTTGAAAAACTTTGTCTTGTTTGGGTCACTACATTAAAAAAAATACCCAAATATTGGGTATAACAAAGGTGCATGAATGTAAAGATCAGGTACCAGCTTTCATCTGCAGCCTAATTTTTATAAGATGAAGTGACATCTATTACATTTAAAAAAAGAAAAAAGTTACTTTGTATTTCAAGAGATCAGCTGCAATATTTACATGGGGCACTGTTGTCAAAATTAGTGCAATTCAGAAGAAGATCTGGAGGCTAGTGCTTGAAAGTCATACCTTGGAAAATTCAGTGAGTGATTTTTAGATGTAAATAATGAGAAGCCTGGATGCTCCCCACTTATTTTTAGCTGGAGAACCTAAACTAGGAATATGGGAATTTTGCTTTCTTACAGTCAACTGGGAAAGAAGTACAGAAGCCCGTACAGAGGATGACTGTGCCTATCCTTATTGGACTTGCACAATTCATATTGGAATTACACAGTTCATTTACTCACCTGAGTGAGGGAACCAGAAGGACTGCTTTAGGCACCTCAGTTGAATGTCTCAAGTTATATGGAACAAATGTAAATCTGACTTGCGCTGTAGACAAAATAAGCTAACTTTTTCAAGTATGCTGCCCATGGTATTTTTTTCATGTTACTGTGTTAGGCATGTTGATGTTCTGGAGGGGTCAAAACTTTTAAAGATGGTGTGCCAGGTTGTATTTTTATTTCCAAAATTAGAGGTTAAGCATGCCAGTAGAAACTTGGGAGGAGCGAGGAGAAACTGCCTCTCCAGTAGGTGAAATACAGCCATTGGGATGTTTGCTTCTGTGCGAAGCAGCGGCTCCCGACTTCCATCCAGTGTGGAGCTTAATGGGAGCCAGGAGCTGGAAGCCCCTGCCTCTCTCCGATGCCATGACTTGTGGACCTGCTCACCCCTGGTTCCCGAGTGCCGTCTTTGGGACCCAGTCCACATGTTCCTGACCCCTGTTGTACCACACTGGCCATTCTATAACCTGGTATGACAATTCTGATGTTTCTATCTTAAAAGAATTTGCTGTTTAAAGTTTTCTGGTTTGTTTTTTAGTCTTTCTTTTCAACTCTCTCGAGCTGTTTACATTGTACAAGATTTTTTTTTTTTTTTTAACAGGACACAATGTTTGTGCGAGGATTAAAGAGAAAATGTTTTGATGGTGAAGAAGATATTGAAGGAACTCTGGCTGGTATTAAGGCTATTCCTTCATATAATCTTCAGCGGCAGTCACTTTTAGATATGTCCTTGGTTAAACTTCAGCTGTGTCACATGCTGGTTGAACCTAACCTTTGTCGTTCGGTACTTATAGCCAACACGGTACGGCAGATCCAAGAGGAAATGACTCAAGATGGGACTTGGCAGATGATAAATACACAGAGTACAGGGCAGGCATCCCTGGATCGTCTTGTTTCAACAGATATCCTCTGTCGTTCATCTAGGGAACAAGCTGAGGGAAAGCATGTTCCAGGCTATACTACTTTTAATAAAGACTTTGAGGGTGACCAGGCACAAGATAGTTCAGAAACTATGTCAACAGCCTCTTCAGTGCAAGTTCCGAGAAACCTGCAGAGCAATGTGTGGGAAATGGAGAATCCACAAGAAAATAAAGGAAACTTTCAAAAATCATTAGATCAAATATTTGAGACACTGGAGAATAAAAGTCCTAATTCTGTTGAAGATCTGTTTTCAGAAGTTGACAATTCTTACTATGATCTTGATACTATGTTAACAGGCATGATGAGCAACTCAAAAATGGGACACTGTGATGGGCTTGAAACGTTTTCTTCTCCCACAGCTACAGCTTCTAACTCTAATTGTAAATCTGATCTTAATGAGCTTGATCATATTGTGGAAATCCTTGTTGAATCCTGAAACTCCTTGTGTAGGAGATAAAGATCTGTTAATGGGAAGAAAAGACTCGAGAAAGTTATTTCCACAGTTTGTTCTATCAAATCTGCACGTGTATTTTACAAATATCTATATATTATATAGATATATATTAAAAAGCACTTCATATTGCAAAGGAGTGTTAACTCTTAAAGTTAACCTGCAACTTGTAGTGTAATAATCTGATTTATTGTCCATTGAACTGTAAGTACATACGGTAAATGTTTTTAAGTTTTTGGGTCCAAGGCTCTTGAAATTGGGTTCCTTTTACCAATTTGTTTTAGCCTTTGATGGAGGATGTGCTCAGTGAGAGGGATTCTCTCATCTTTTTCTTATACTTCTCCCAGTAAAAATGGTAATAAACATAGAGAGAAGTTAGATAACTGGTTTCCTATTTTCCTCCGGTTTCTACTTTGTTACATCACAGAACTCCTGCTGCTTCTGTTCTAAGTCGCTACATGGCTCTTAAAGAGCAGTATGCAATAGTTCCTGTTATCCTAGCTAGTGTGTTCTGGTTTTTGCTACAATTTTTACTTCAAAAATAGTTTTTAAAGTGTTTATTGGTGTTTAGATTTTTCCAGGTATTTTCCTAAAATATATTTTTACTACAGATGTTATGTCAGCTGCTAACTTAGTAACTTTTGATCATATCTGCAGTTGATGTATTTTTTGAACGATTTTCAAAAAGGGATGTTTTTTTTTTACCGTGAGCTACCCAATGTAGTTCAGTAAAGTGTATGTAAATGTAAATATACGATTTTATACTTTACATTAAAATGTAAGAGCTGTTTTCATGATTCTGTTTTATAGAGTAGTGCTTTACTAAATTGAGAATTGTAAAATTATGCTTTTCATACCCCATATACTTGAGTATCATTAGAGGAAGAGCTTTGATCCAGCTAGATACAGTTACATTTAATTCATTTCAGACCATGCTTTTTGTTAACTACAAACCTAAATTGCATAGGTTTTTATTTATGTGTATTTATATGTAAATGTCATCAAGTGAATTGTTTTATCACTGAAGTCTACCATCAAATACTTGTTTATGTGGGATAACTATCTTGCACTAATTACTACAAAAAGTGTTATTAGCGGCCTTTAAATCTCAACTGGTATGTCATGATGTCTTGTCATAATTAATATGCTCCACTCTTACCAAGGGTTTCCTCTTGGCTTTTTTTAATAACAAAAGATAATACAACATGGGATGGTGTTTTTTCTTCAAGTAGCCACATTTGGTTTAGAGTGTATATAATTAAGCTTATTCTTATGAGACTTTTTCAGGGGAAAGGGATAGATCAAGTACAGTGTATGATTTTGTTATAAAATGACAAATATTTACCTTCACAAGCTGGTACTGGGAAAGAGGCCTGAACTAGCAGGGAGGTGGAGGAGGGGGAAAAGATTGATTGGTTTCTGGAATGTGTTAGCATTGGTTGTGCCAGGGGAAGACATCCACCAGTAACTCATTTTCTGTAGACCTGAACCAAGCAAGTTGCTGAACATGAAGAGAATACCTTTCTGCATCTGACAGACTCTGCCTTCCCACAAGTGACGTCACCTACTACACACTATCCTTTTCAGATTCTCAAACCCCTAAAAAGGGGAGGGTGGGGGCAGGGGGGTGTTAAGGGCACTCCAGTGTCACCTTCACAAAAGGAGATCACCGAGCTTATGGTTTCAACCAGTGCTTTAGAAGCATCTGGTTTGGGGAGAAATGGTACCACTTTGCTAAATTTTTCAAACTTGATAGTTGAATGCATATTAGCTCAGTTGCATGAAACCATGCAGTCGGTGTGAGTCTTTAGTGAATTTGAAAATCTTTCTTGTACTAAACTTGGCATGAGATAACATGTAGTTGCTGTAGTAGTTAAACATTGCTTCCTCAATTAAAGCTTGATTAATAACTTCTTATTAGGATGAAATAGCATATAGACACTTGGCAAATTCAGTCCATATGATATAGCTGGACCAAAGAAGCATGCCAATACTACATGTCTTAATAGAGATATAATGGAAAGGTTTTGCAGTCGTACATCCTGCTTCAGGAGGATATGGATGTTGATGTGAACTGTCATATCTCACAGTGAAACAACAATCTGTTTTACTTGTCACTGTTTGTTGTAGTATCAGAGATTGCTTCAAAATTCTAAATCCACAGGAAATTTTTCTTTATGCTTTTCTGTGTGTGAATAGGTCCACTGAATCAGACAGCAGATGCCTTAGGGTAAAGCAGAAAGCCAGGCAGTTTCAAAGTTTTATAAAGGGAACATTAACATTGAGTTGAATAACGAAAAATCTTCTGTCCCTCTGGGAAAGTTCTCCAAAACTCCTCTGAACTGTGGTTGAAAACCCACAGGTCTGAACAACTGTGGGTGTTCCCCTCTGCTTCCCCTTAATCTCCATTTTCATTGAATGAGCAATTGCATGCTAATGTATTTAAAAAGAGGCTCTCCCCCTGCCTCCTTAGTGGGCATCAGTCTCCATGTTACAGGTAGGAATTAGTATAATATGTTCATAACTCTTAAACCGAATGTGTCAAATGCATGTGTGTGTATATGTATCTGTATCTCTGTGTACAAACCATCTAGCTGGGTGCATTCCTTTACTGAGGAAGCTATGCCTAGTTAGAGCAATTTGTAGAGACTACTTGGCTTAACGGGAAAGGTATTAGGTAAGTATGCATTTATGTAGTTAAGCATTTAAATAGAAAAACATATCCTGTTTTATTATGTTCTTAAAACTTATGCCAAATCTTATGTGCTTTTACATGCCTGGTATCTTGGCTCAGGTCTTCAGCAGGTATAAGAATTTGTATTGCTGAAACTTGCACAGTCACTGCACCAAACTGATGTGTGCCTAGAACTGGTCTGACTTTGCAAGGACCAGTCAGTGCAAAATCGGCTTGTCTCCCTACTGCTTTATTGGTGTGTCTCAGTCAAATTCAGCTGCTCATGCTGGGTAGCTTCACTTCTCCTGTTTTGTTTTTTTTTAAAAAAGGAACTGTTGTGGTTTAACCCCAGCCAGCAACTAAGCCCCATGCAGCTGCTTGCTTACTCCCTCCCTGCAGTGGGATAGGGGAGAGAATCTGGGGGAGGGGAGTAAAACTCATAGGTTGAGTTAAAGACAGTTTAATAGGATGGAAAAGGAAGGGAAAATAATAACAATAATAGAATATACAAAACAAGTGATGCACAATACAATTGCTTCCCACCCACTGACTGATGCCCAGTCAATCCCTGAGCCCTGGTGCCCCCTTGGCCAACTTCCCCCAGTTTATGTACTGGGCGTGATGTAATATGGTATGGAATACCCCTTTGGATCGTTTGGGTCAGCTGTCCTGGCTGTGTCCCCTCCCAACTCCTTGTGCACTCCCAGCCTCTGCTGGCAGGGCAGTGTGAGAAGCTGAAAAGTCCTTTGCTTAGTATAAACACTGCTTAGCAACAATTAAAACCTCAGTGTGTTACCAACATTATTCTCATCTTAAATCCAAAACACAGCACTATACTAGCTACTAGGAAGAAAATTAACTATTCCAGCTGAAACCAGGACAAGAGCTTTATTTTTTAACTTGCATTGTCATTTCTTTGCTAGTCCAAAAACATCTTAGTTAAATATGCATCACTTAAAGGTTAATACAGTATTTTTCCCCTCTATGTATTCCTCTAAGATACTGAGAGACATCAGAAATGATAGGGTGCCTTTAAAACAGTGAATTTTAAATTACATGTTTTGTGAACTGTTACTACAAATAGCAAGAGATACTTGCTGATGGTGGTTTTCTTAATTTCTACATATAAATGGGAAATAATTTAACTCTGTTAAATTAGGAAAGGCTTCTGTCAGATTTTGCTACCACTTCCAGCACCCTTTTTTCTTTTATGTGCTCCTAGGGAAAAGAGTCATGAAGCTTGCACAGCAGTCAATGCTGTGTCTCAAACAAGGCTGTTGGTCTGAATGACATAACTCAGCTGTAGACTTGCACAAAAGAAAGTACTTTCAAGCAAACAGCTAACATCAGGTCTGCTTTCTTCTCAGGTAACCTTGAATATCTGTCCATATCTGTTCCCTTCTGCCTCTGTGCCTGTGGTTTTATTTCTCCTCCCTTGCCAGAAAATCCAGATCGCATGGAGCTTCTGAAGCTTGGGCATTCAGCAAAGGCAAGAAGTGTGAGGATCCAGGTTGCATTAACAATGGCTTGTGCACACAAAAGCTTGTCTGCTTATCGCTTCCCTGTTTGTTTGCTGTTTGGGTTTTTTTAATCCCCTCTCTCTTCTGCAGCGCTGTGAGTTTATCTAGCAAAAGATGTTGCCTGTCTCTGCGAACATAGCCATATTTGCCTGAAGGAAGAATTTGGTAAACGAAGAGGGAATCATTTCTTTGGATGAAAAGCACCTTTCCAGACTGCCTCAGAGGCGCAGCAGTGAGGGTTTCAGCCTTGAGCAGGTTAGGGATGCACATGCAAGTCTTCACGCTCACCAGGAATTACCTGTTTTCAAAGCTGTCCTTAGACTTTTTTGAAGTCTCAGGTATGCCTGGACTGCTTTAGGAGGCATTTTAAAAAGCGTTGTTGTAAATTGACTGATAGTATAGTTTTATATTGTAATTATCAGGCCATTATGGATGTCTTGTGCCTCAGAATATTGATTTGAGTGTATGACTGCTTTACAGTTCTGCAACTTACTCCATACTCCCATATAACTAAACAAACTGTCAAAAGCTAGGATGAAAAAAATAATGCATTTATTTGGTGATGTCTAGGGTAAGACAAAAATGCTTTCAAAAGTGACTTCTTTTCAAAGTGAAAGTCTGTTTATGTCTCAGGCCTAGGATGTATAGTCCCTTATGCAAAAAACCCGTGACTGATCATGACAAATTTTGATTGCTCATCAACTCTTAAATGAGTGTGATTTCACACTATGTGATTAATACTGAAAGTACAACACCACCAAGTTCCGAAGAAATGAAATACACATCTTAGGAAAATACGTATTTTTGTCAATTTGGCTTGTTCAACTGTAAGCTTTTGCAAGGATTGTCTAAACTCCTTTTGGTGTCTCTTGCAAAGTTGACAGTTAAGATAAATTTTCCTATATTTTCAAGGAAGTTCCGCAAAGAGATGAAATCCCACTGAATAATTCAAGTTGTCAGGAAAGAGATTTACTTCAGATGTCTGTAGTGACTTGACTTTTAGTATTTTTCACTGTCTTAAAAAAAAAAATTTCATTGTCTGACATGATTTTCATAAGTAGTAGTAGCTTTTTTTTAAAAACAATTGCTCCTTTGCTTAACCAAGATTTCCCCCAAATGAGTGTTTTATGACCTGAAGAATTATTGTGGTAAATGTTGATGCAGGACCAACATGTCAACAGGAAAATATAAAGCTAAAGGCAACTTTCCATTGCAGGGAAAACATTCAGTAATTTCAACTGTCATCTTTTTAGGGAAGAATAATTGAAGATACAGGTGATTACATGACTTCTTGCAAAAACAGAATTAAAAAGAAATTGTATCCACATGTCTGCTGTATTTGGAAGTCCCCTAGGAGCATGTGGGAAGTGGCAAGTACATACTGCAATAGTAAAATGCTGCAACAAAGCAACAGTACATTGTATTTTTCATGTGCCGACTACAGACAAGTTTTGGAGATCAAGAAAATGTAATGTAACTTCAACCTCGGGTTGTGCAAGCTTCCAAAACAGGACTTCTAAAGGAAGAGCAGGTATGTTGCTAAAAAAAAACAAACACCAAACCACCACACACCAAGAGTTTTAATACTCAGAGGAGAAAAAAACGGTACTTAAAACAAATTCACTTTTCTGTGTTTGAGATAATTACTGAGACAAATGCTAGATACGGAAAGTACTGGGTGTTGGGAGGGTTTTTTGTCCAGTGAGCTGAGTGAAGTTTAAGATAAAACTGTTGAATGGTTATTTGTTTTAATTGAAGCCCAGTAACATGGTTTGCTTTTGTGTGTCTTCTTTGTTTGAAAGGTATAGGGAGAAAGTGCTTTTTCTTGTAAATTGTGATTCTTTTGACAAAATAGCATAATGGCTTATTTAGTACTCTGACAAATATTCAATAATGTGTTGGTTTTTTTTTTTTTTTAAATTATCATCTTGAGTCATGGCTTGCTTTTTTTTTCTTTTTTTAAACTTGAGTAAGTGTGGGATTAGTTAGTAGTTCACAGAGGCTTTGCCA